ATTTGAGTTCTCATCTATTGTAGAGAACAAATTTATATTTGTTACATTGAGTGTGTTGTGAAGTTTTCGGTGAACTAGAAACCGAGTGCGTAGTGAGGTTTTCGGTGAGCTAGAAACCGTGTGTGAGGAGTGACGTTGATCGGTGAGCGTTGAAAACCGATACTGTGAGGTGTAAACGTTATTCGGGTGAACGTAGAAAACCCGGTTGATAGTGGATTTCTCCCCGGGAGTGGGGAGCGGAGACGTAGGACGGAAGGTCCGAACTCCGTGATCATATCTTGTGTTTGAGTGTGCTTTGGCGTTTATTTATACTTGTGTTTATAATTCTTGTTGCCATTGTCATTAGCTCATCATTTATATGATCCACTATCTAGTTCATATTGTTTACCCTTGTGTTAGTTTATATATCCTTGCATATATATACATATATATATATATATTCATCATATAGGATATATCACTTTGTATATATTGCTTATTCTTGCTTATAACTCTTGTATATCTATCTTGCAAGAATACAACTTGTTAATTAATTTTAATTGGCATTTAATCGGATTAGATTAGCATAAGACCCTAATCACCCCCCTCTAGGGTCTAACAGGAATGAATGGTGCAAATTTCTGAACTTCTAACCTATTTATAGCCTTTGAAAAGACAAGTTTTTAAAGTCAACTAACGGATCAAAAACGGCTATAAACATTCACAAATTCAAACTTGAAATGTCAGAAAAACTTTCTCTGTAGTCGACTATAAATCGTAGTAGTCGACTACACTGAGTTCAAACAGACTCTGTGAAGTCAGGATTTTTTTTAGTAGTCGACTACACTAGTCATTAGTCAACTACTCTGTAAACACAGAAAGTCTGGAATTCAGATTCAACTTTTATTAGTCGACTATACTGTCTAGTAGTCGACTACACTGTAATTTGACAGAAACTTGAAAATTAAATTTAACCTTAGTAGTCGACTACATATAGTCATTAGTCGACTACACTGTATTTTTACAGAAACTTAAAAATTTGTCTAAGTCTTAAGTAGTCGACTACACTGTGTATTAGTCAACTACAGTGTTATTTGACAGAAATTTGAAATTAGTTCTAAGGCATTAGTAGTCGACTACTATTATCTATAGTCGACTACCCTGTCAAATAACAGAAACTTAATATTTCAAACAGTGTGCATGTAGTCGACTACAAATCTTATTGGTCGACTACTAAGGGGTAAAAATGATATGAATAAAGTATTTTGAGACTCATTCTTTAACTACAAACTCTAATGGTTAACATAGGGGATTTCTATTGTTAACCAACACACTAAGCATGTGTTAGTGTGTTCTAAACACTATGTGTGTGTATGTGTTGTGAATGATCAAGGCTTGTACAATAATTCTAAGTAAAAAAATTGTAAAATTTACATTGTATATGTTTAAGCACATCATATTCTTTACTTCATATGTCTTGAGCTCATCTTGCACTTTTGTTCACATATCTTGAGCTTATTTGAAGTTGATATCTGCATTGATATGTTAGTGCACAATAATACACATAGTGAATAAATTGCTATCATCAAAACTATATCATGGGGACATGATATCCAACATGTTTGTTTCCAATAAACAATTTTCTCTTTCTCTGCGGGTAAAAGCGTAAAAATAATTTCACTCTGGTGTTTATCTGCAACGATAAAGTTAGAGGAGTAATGAGTTCAAAATAGGATACTACTGAGGGACTATCCGCAACTAATTGGAAAAAGGGAGGACCAAGAAACCAAACGACACAGAGTACGTTTGTGACCGCAGATATTGCGCTTGGGGACGAGAGCAGGTAGCCGTGGTGTCTCAAAAACTCGATGTGGAGTTGGAACCTGCACTGTCTCTTATTGAACTTGGATCATCCATTAAATCAGATATTAGGACCACCAAATGATTGTGTTACCATGACGAGATCTGTGAATGGTAGGATGCCTACACTTTGTACTAATCCTGGACCACCGAAGAGACTGAAGGTTGCTTGTTCTTTAGTTTAGAGACGAGAGAAGCAATGACCTCTTTCAGTCTATCAACCAAAATCACCGCATTAATCTCGTGTAAGGTAACAACAAAGGAAAATTCCATTTTGATGGCATCTTCTGTTTAGCAAAAACATGCAAACTCCCGGTCTTAGTAACATCCCCAACAATAAATAAAACATTCTAGTGACAACTTCCCTTCACTTCACTATTACACATGTTATTGCCTTTCGGTTCTCTACATAAAGAGGATTCGACGGTTCTACCTGATACTGAGCTACACAATAACCTTCACTTTTGCTTCCCTACATAAGAGGTTCTCTACATCAGAGGATTCTACCTGATACAGAAATACACAATTAACTTCACTTTTGCTTCTCACTGTGAAGGAACTTGCATAAGATTAGACAGTCTATTATTCTCACTTGTTTTATTCTGAACAGCCATGATAACATTTTTTACAAAAAGAGAATCATGAGAAAGGAAAACAATTGGAATTTTTCCGCCTAGTTTTCGCGTTTACTGTTTACAGGATTCTTTTCTCATTCAGCTCAACCAGAACCCTTATTTTCAGAGCATTGATGCGTTTCCTGAAAATACGATGCGGAAAAAAAAATCTAGATGAACAAACGGTGGGGAGGATGAAATAAGAGTTTGCTTCGAAAAGACTCTAGATACTATAGTGTCGAATTAATTCACCCTAGCATCTTTTTTCCTCTTTCTAGGCCTAGATACACATCAAAGCTGAAGCAAATGTGAGGCAGCATCATTCTAGATTTGATCTGTACTCAATTTTTTTGCTCTGGCACTCGATTAATCTAGCATGTTTGCTTACCATACATTCACACAACCAGTACAGGAACTGATAACAACATAAAATAAGGTAATTAATGTCACTATAGTGCAAAAAAGATATGATAACAACATAAAATTACTAAGAAATTTTATGATAGATTCCTTGAAAAACTTGAAAATTCATACTAAATCTCTTCAATTTCATGCAAACCTTTTAGAATATATAAATAGTCTGCACTCAAAATCTTATGCGAGTCACTGGAACCTGTCATTGCTAAGGCTAGTATAAGATATTTTGTTCTCTAGTAATACATTAAAATAACTTATTACAGCTGCAATTCACCTATAGAACATATGTGCACAATTGAATCGGGTATCACATTTAACACGTCATGTGACTTTTGGCTCCTAATGTCTTGTCTCACATAAATAACAAGCACCATTCACATACGTGGTCCTCTTTTATGTTTGCCTGTACATAAGACAGTCCCTTAATTTGAAAATATTGTTGCCAATTATGCTAAGGTAATTTTAGGTTCATATACTTGGTTGTTTTTAAGTGTTAATTAATAGTTTAAGCTTTCTCCCCTGTGCTCTAGCTTGTCTTAATGCTAGGCTCCTATTCATTTTCTTCATCGACTAATTTTTCCAGCTTAAAAGATTTCACGCAATCTAAAATATAGTAAAGAATCCCATATTGGTAAATGGAAACAAAAAAAATGTAAGTGTCCCTCGCCTAGCTAAGTCTAACATATATACTAATATGAAAGGGATGAACAGAGCTTATTAACAATTAATAAATGAATCATGCTGAAATGCAGTTACATAGTTCGGAAAGATCTTCTGTTGTCGTTACAGTAAAAAAAATAACGTTGGTATGTCAAAAGTATTCAACCAAATTAAATAATAACTTTATTTTAATAACAATGAAACATTAAAGAGTGAGAAAATACAGAAGAAAGAGCTCGTAAATAGTTCAGACATAAACAATAATATATAAATAGTTCAGCCAAGTCTGCAGGAGAATTTTCACTATTGCGCTTCTAGATCAAACCAAACAATGCACTTTTTCAACTCTCTTCCATTAGAAGAGCTAAAACAAGCATTGAAATAAGAGGATCACACTTTGTAATTCTCTCTTTTACCTCATGTTACTGTAGTAATCTCCCTGCCAAGCTTTTTACATGGATGTAGTAGGCATTTGAACTAGAAATGTAAATGGATGCGTCTCTTCCGGTTTCTTTTTCGTGGTCAGTTTATAATAGCATATATTCAATTTTAGGGTAGACTGAATGCAAAAAAACAGCTAGAAACTTTTCTCTAGTTAATAAATTTTCAGGACATTTTGCTCCGGAGAATTAAAAACAAGAAAGCAAAAAAAAAATTCTCTATACATGCCATTATGTTGACATGTTACACAACTAAAAGGGCATGAAAGTGGAGTTATTTCTACCTTGTGGTGACCATAACATAATCCCCCTTCCTCAACTCCTGCTCTAAAAAGCATCATATTTCCCTTGATAGAAATATGAAACCCCACTCATTCCCTTTGTCCTCTATTGAATAGGAAGTGGCAAGTTATAAACTGGGAAAAGAGGCAAAAAAAAAATAAAAATAAAAAAGCAAAATACAATGAAAAGGCAAATTTGAAATGTAAAGTGCATGGTAGGAGCAAAAAGGACAAGCCAAAGTAAATGCAAACATGCATGATGGGTGACTCACTCTGACTCCCCTCATCTGCTCCGTTGTGTCCCGGTACAAGTAACTCATCATGCACTGGTCCCCTCTAGGTTCTGCATACACTCTTTAATGCCTCCTACTTTTTTGAATAATTTATATTGCACAACACAAACACCGTATGCATTTGAATCCTATCATGTTAAAGACATTTTTTTTTCTCCCACAAGTTTCGAGTTGTTTTTTGTTTCGCAAGTATTCGGCCAGGATTGGCCCGGTTTTTTAAGGCTAAATTTTGGCCCTAAAACCGCTTTTGTTTTCGTCCGTCCTCATGAATCAAAGCTACCCCAGGTACGGATGAAACTGGGCCAGGATAAATTTTAGCTCGGTTTTGTGGGTTTGTCAAACACACGCTTACCTTATCATCTCCTTGTTTTCACTTATTACTTTCTGAAGGATTACAACCGTCCGGTAAGTGATAGATGGGTGTGGTTTTGAGAACGTACTTTCTGTTATTGTTGAATGTTTACGATGATCCAAATCCAATAGTATATTATAATATAATGTGGTAGCCTATCCTATAAAATATTTCAGATATCGCAGTAGGAAGGTATCTAGGCTATACATATATCATTTCTTTTTACAGGTAGAGATAGAAGAAAGAGTATCTCGGTTATTAAAGTGGCCTCTTTTCGCAGCATCCTTTTTTCTTAATTCTCTATCCCCATACCCTTTTCCTGCCACTACTGACCTCTTTCACAACCTCTGCTTTCCATAATTAAACATCACCGCAAAGCACCAGCTCTGGTATCTATCCTCCCCCCTCTCACTTGTAGTAGGGGGTGGAAAAAGAAATCAAAAACTCGTGAGATATTTTCCTTATAAAGCAGTGCTGAAGGTGGTTGCGGGGCTCTAGTTGGTATGTGACTTGGATCTCTTGACTTTTTGTCTTTTTTTTTTTTCCAGATTAGATGGTGGTTCTGTTTTAGAAAATTTATGTGGGCTTCAGATTTTGTTACGCGTAGCTGGACTTTTAAGATTATGAAGAGGTGATGAATTTAGAAGTTCGTTAGGGATAGCTCTCATTGGCACTGGTGCTTCATGGGCATTATGTTGTAGTTTTCTTTTCTCTAATAATTTCTTAGGATGTTCGTTTTGTTCATGCTTTTCTCTGTTTTACTTGATGACGTTACAGCATTTAGTGCTTTCTTCTGGCAACTGCATTTTAATTTGTTTTATTATTCTTAGATTTTCAGTTTCCATTGTCATTTTTGTTTTATAAATCCCTGTTATCGGTAGTTGCTGAATGAGACAGTCAAAAGTGTCTAATTCTTAAGAACTAGTAAATTAGCTCGGTCTGCTCTATGCATTCTGAACTCTGATCTATGCCAGCTGATTTCTCCTTAAAAGAAATTTATTCTTTAACAAAATTATAGTTTTTCAGGGTACTATTCTGTAATCCAATTGCTGAAGCCCACCAAATCTCCTATTAGTGGTTCCTTTTTTAAGTACTTCAGAAAATATTAGTTCCATCTGTCAAAACCCTTTGTTCTTTTGTGTGTCTTATTATGCACAGAACGATTGTTACATATCAGTCTTATGATACTCAGAAACGAACATGAATTGATGTAGGAAATTTTGATTTATAGGGCACTTTAGTTTTATTTAATCCTACAGTCGACGATCTTGTTTATTTTTCCTAGTTTTTATTTAATCCTACAGTCAACGATCTTGTTTACTTTTCCTTAAAGAGATCTTTTTATTCCCCTTTGTAATTGTTTTGCTTTCTCCTACATGTTTTTCAAACATTTACTTGCTGAGATAATTACGAAGCCCGTTCATAATTTTACGTTTATCACCTAGCCAATGTTGTTCTTACCTGTGTAAGATAGATGTTATTTTAGTTTCTAATAATATTTTCAAGGTAATGGAAACTTCCCCAATATTAATAAATGATACTCAATTTCCAGCAAAATGATATTGATAAAATTCCATCCATGGAGCCTTTTCTACATGTATTAGTCCTCCGTAAATGAGCTCAGTCTAAACTCCTGTAAATTATTATGTATGAAATATATAGTGATAACTAAGAGTACCAAGGAACTTATGCCTTAACTATGAGCATGGTCTCAATAGCATTGCATAAAACTGTAAATTAATTTACAAAGGAATTTAGACTGTTTTAAAATACTTGCTCGGTATTGAAAGATTGAGGCAAGTTGCAGATGCTGAGATGTATTCACCTTATTCATTCTAAAATTCATTGATCGATCTCTGAAACTTAACAATCCATTTCTGTGCATTAGTAACTATTAAGTCATAATAGCACTTGGGTCTTTATGTTTCAGATGTCTGACTGTAATAGCACCAGAACCCAACACATACACGCTTACAATGATATGCGCCGAAATTTACTCACATATGTTCGATTTTTAGAAATACCATAGTGTCAATTTATCATGTCATACATCCTATATGCTTGAAGATGAAAAAACCTGACAGAAAATACCTTTAAACCAAAATTTTGTGATGACACTTGTGTTTTTAAGAGCATTTTGGGGACTTCAATCGAAATCACTGAAAAATAGGTTAAGCCGTTAAGGGGTTGATCGCTACCAGAACCTTTTAAGGTGGTTTTGTTATTAATTGAACTTTAAAAGTGGTTTTTGTATTGTCACCCTATTTTAAATATGGCTTCTACGAAAAAACACTCATGTAAATATTACCAAACACAATCTCTAATTTTATATGCAGCTGAAGGAGACAACAGTCACACAAAATCCTTTCATCGCTTCAAATTTCTCGTCTAAGCAATGGACACCGTGACGCAAAATCCTGAGATATCCTCTGAAGACCCTTCAGAAATCAGCAGCCAAGTTGCCTCAAACCAACAAGAATCCTTCCCTCATTCCAATGACTCTTCATCAATTTCCCTCAACCTTTCCCTCTCAATGACAGCCAATCTCTCATCAACAATCACAAGCGAGAGCAGCAGCGATCCAGTACCACCAAGAGTCTTTGCTTGCAACTACTGCCACCGTAAGTTCTTTAGCTCACAAGCACTCGGTGGCCACCAAAATGCACATAAGAGAGAACGAACACTAGCGAAAAGAGCATTGAGAATGGATCCCTATCCTTACTCTTATCATAGTATTGCATCCTTAGGGATCAAAGCTCACTCATCATTAATGTATCGAGCTGGTGAAGCGGCAGAGGGTTCAATGATTAGTCGAGGGTTGCTGGGACCCATGCCTGAATTTGTGGAGGATGATGTGGATGGTTTATATTGGCCAAGAAGCTTTAGACCAATTGCTATGAGTTCAGTTCAGGTGGTTGATGAACCTGATCTCACACTTAGACTTTGAGAGGTAAGTTTGGCTTGCTTATTTGGTTGGATATATTCATGATTCTTGCGGTTGTTTTCATGAATTAACGCTTTGTTTGTTGTATATTTGCAAAGTTTTGGGTTTGTTAGTGCTCCTATTTCTCTTTTTAACTCTTTTTTCTAAAGTAGAGTGTTCTATGTTATTATAGCCTCATGTTGGAACTGTATTAAGTTTGCTTGTGGTAATGGGTACTGTTGTTGTTTTATGCAATTATTGTCATAAGCTATCATGACGTATATTTTGTTGTACTTCAATCCAACTTACAATCTTAAGTAGATAGAAGATAATGTCTCCATCCTTGAGTTGGTGGGTTTTTAAAGAAAATGTGATACCAAGTAATTATAAGATTCAAAGTGAGTACAACACAATTGTAAGATTATTTTCAAATACATTTTCTAAAATGACCAAAATACTCAAGGACTCGAAGCTTTTCACACAAAGCAAGATTATGCAGTGAAAAAAAGGTAATTAAAATTTAGAATTAAAGTCCTCCAAGTGGATGAGGATGAGGACATTTTCACATGTAATTGTAACAAAATTTGTATTCAGACATTTTCACATGTAATTGTAACAAAATTTGTATCAATTTGCCCACAACTTTACCTAATTCTTCCTTTTCATGTTTCTCAATTTTTATCCGCCCACCCCAACAGTGCCGATTAAGTTACCCCAACAGTGACGATTAAGTCTTACTTTTCAGTTTTATGACAGTTCGTAATAATGTTTAATTTTATGCCATTACAAGTTTATAACTATTCTGAATTGAAATATTATTTGCATAAGTGGGATTTATATAGACTTTTACAGTATGGTTTGAATCATTTTCGTAAAAAGAGTATGTTTTTGGAAAAACTCTTTTTCTCCCGCCCAAAAAAAATAAAAACTGCTCGAATACTTTGAAAGGAAGTGTAAATCTGACTTATGCTTGTGACATTCTACACACCTAACATGAATGATATTTTCAGTGGGAAATGATATAATAGTTCCTATTAGTTACAGATGGTAAGATCAGGACTAAATCCATTAATTGTACAGATCAACCGAGCTTTTTGCAATTTTCATACATATATATACATACACACACATATAGTGATTGAAATTTCAACATAGAGCATGTCAGAATACAGAACACTGTTGGTGCAATGACATAGACTTCGTTATTAACCGGGTGCATGCTTAATATGCTGCTTGAAAAAATTACTGATGCAAAAAAACTCCAGTTCCAGCCTTACGAACGACGGTTTTCAACTTCTGTAGGTGTACTAGAACAGAAAAAATATATATCCTTAATCTTCTTGACAACCTAGGGGTTTTGTTGCATGCTGGTGCCAATTATGGTTCATTGATGACACTTGTATCTAACGTTATCTGGTTCATACATAACTGGGGATGAACAAATGCTGAGTTTAAGTATACTCAGCATTTGTTTGTGTTGCTATTATTTGTTGGCCCAAGCTCTGACCCATTATCAAAAGACCAGCTTCCCTAAAATATCCGCCTATCCCTTTGTTGTATCTCTCTCACCCGACGGTTCACCTCAGCACGGCTCCCCCTTGTTCGTCCCCTTTGTCCTGCGCCGCAGGCCCTTGTCCGTTCCACCTTGTCCTGCGCCGCTGCGTCTATGGATCTCATCCCTGTAGGTCGGCTCCTATCATCGGGAACCCTTGCCTCTCCTACCTCGTGTCGGCTGCCCCCTTCCCTATATAAGGTGAAGGGCTGGTAGTAGCTCGTGGTGGGAAAAAGAGTCGGTGTCGAGATCCTAAGCTTGGTGCTCCTACCCGTTGTGCGATCCTCTCCCCTACCTGAGCTCTGTGCTCCTTCAAAGCTCTGTGCTTTTACCCCTTTGTGAGATCTTAGAGAGAGACTGTGTAATAGTTGATTTCTCCCCCCTTTGTGCTCTTGGTGGTGCACAAGAGAGCAGATCGGACTGGTTGAGCAGGCTTCTGAGCCAAACAGCGATCTTCGATCCTAACAGTTTGGTACAGCAAAGCAAAAAAAAAAAAACTGCTCAGTTTGTGGCAATTCTCAATTGAATTGAACTTCTAATCATTAAAGAGAAGCTAATTACCTTCAACCTCAACACCATCTGTGCTTAAGAGTTTTGACGGGTTAAATTTTGCTTCCATTCACATTTGCCTGTAGTAAATACTGCAGTGTAATAACTTGAGGGGCTTGGATGAAGTTGTTACTACCTTATATTTTTATTAAATTGCTTCAATTAACAGACTATTAATTGTTCTAAAGAGATCGACGTTCCACATCCTGAGTTTGTTTTCCTTTTCTCCATAAGAATGCAGGTACTTTATACATTTTAAAACCTGAAGAAATCCACAGCGATGACTCCAAGAAACAACCAACTTCGTAAGCCTTTTACATAATAAGGGGTACTAAACCTGATCAAAAGGATTTTTAAGTGCTAAAAAACTATAAAATTCAGGACTTTTTCACATAATAAGATTGTAGATTGGTAACCCATGGTAATCCAAAGAGAGTAGAGCATGCTTGTAGAAATTCAATGTGGTGAGAAATATGGACTCCTTAAGTGAATGCATCTCCATAGAACGAGCAACAATTCTGTGAACATTACCAACAATTCTCAGAATAGTTGTTTGAATTCGTATTTCAGGCATGAAACATTAGTCTGAGGTCCATAAACTAAAGATTTACACTAACTTTTTTAGAGTTAAGAACACATACCTCGGGTACAGAGGGAAGCCTAAACAACCTGAGATCCTAGGGGGGGCCGGGGGACAAGAAGTACATAAAATGTGCTCTAACATATGCAGTTCCATGAGCATCAAGGGCAATCAACTTCTGAATCTGACAAGAGAACTCGGAGATGAGATCTCAAAGTAATAATGCATAGAAGACTGTTGCGCGCCTTTGCGGAAGCATGCTCGCACACCGAACGAATTCGTGAGACACGGGAGAAGATTAACAAACCCAACTCGAGTACAATATAACAATTAAATATGACAAGCAAATCACAAACACATATATTTTACGTGGTTCGGCAATTTGCCTACGTCCACAGGAACGGCACAATAATTTCTTATTAATTACAAGAAATTACAAATAAGAGAGAAGGTCTCAAGCTTGAGATCTCTCAAAACAATAACAGTGTTTTAACTTAAAGCACTGTTCAATCTCTCTATTAATAACCCAAATCAAACCCCTATTTAATATCACCAACCCCTTCTCACAATAAATGAGAACAGGGACAAAGGGGGAAAACCAAATCGCAGAAGGAAACCAAAGAAGCTGCCGCTGCTATTTTTCTTCTGCTCCGCTCCTCTCGGGTTGTGAACAAGGGTTTCCCTTTTATAGGGAAACCCTAGGGCGAGGCGAGCTCCTCCTCCAGCTGGCACCAGCTGGCTTCCACTCCACGCCGAGCTTCGCGATCACCTCGAGCCCCACGCACACGACAGGCGACACCTTGCTTTCGCCTGTCCAGCCCCACCTACAGGCGAGCTCGAAGTCGCCTCACCACATCTCACCTACAGGCGAGATTAAACCTCACCTCACACCTCGCCTATGATCTCGAACAGGCGACTCCTCACCCGTGTCGCCTCCACGTCGTCTGCACACAGGTCAGTTCTTCTTCAATTCTCCACCTCGTCCATCATTTGATAAACATCAAACTTTGGACGAACACCAGAAGAACACCATGAGCACCAAACCAGGCCCAAAACAGCTGCACCATTAAACCATGGCTGCCTACGTACCCTCTGACTGGGATCAAGCTAATCGTAGTTCTGCCAAATAGCTGCCAACGGCCTCAACAATCACGAATGTGTAACAAGTTTCGACAATAATTAAACTTATTGCTCAGAACCACCTTTATGAGCATATCTGTTGGATTATCCTTTGTGTGGACCTTCACTATCTCTACATCTTCATCTTCAAGAACATCCCGAACGAAGTGATAACGAACGTCAATGTGCTTCGTCCTCGAATAAAAAACCTGATTCTTTCCTAAATAGATAGCACTCATGCTATCATAATGAATAGTAACGAACTGCTGCGATATACCAAGTTCCTCTAAAAGTCCTCGAAGCCAAATAGCCTCCTTAACAGCCTCCGTAATTGCCATATACTCTGCCTCCATTGTAGACAAAGCCACTGTATACTGTGAGGTGCATCTTCAACACACCAGCGTACGGGTCAAAGTAAACACATACACCGTAGTAGATCGATGCTTATCCAAATCTCTGGCATAATCCGAATCAACATAACCAATGCACAACTGCCCACCTCTAGTGTCCCGCTCATAAACCAAACCAATATTGAGCGTACCTCTAATATACCTCAAGATCCATCTCACGGCGCCCCAATGACACATTCCTGGATCGTGCATGTATCTCGAAACCATGCTCACCACCTGTGACAAATCCAGCCTCGTACACACCATCGCGTACATCAAGCTTCCAACTGCGCTCGCATATGGAGTCTTCGACATCAACTCTCTATCTTCAACTGTCTTTGGTGAAAGATCAGCTGAAAGCTTTAAATGGGCTCCCAAAGGTATACTAACAGGCTTCGTTTCCATGCTAACGTTAAATCATTGTAGAACCTTCTTCAGATAAGCTATCTGAGTCAATCAAATTCTGCCCTTCTCTTTGTCTCTACCGATCTCCATCCCTAAAATACGCTTAGCCTCACCCAAATCCTTCATCTCAAACTCATTTGAAAGTTGTGCTTTCAACTCATCTATAGAAGACCTGAAAATAGAGGCAACCAACATGTCATCGACATAAAGCAACAAATAGATGTACGCACCTTCTTTCAACTTGTGAAAATATACATAAGGATCAAACTAGCTCCGAGTGTACGAATAACCAATCATAAAACCATCAAATCGCCTATACCACTGTCGAGGAGACTGCTTCAAACCGTATAGCGATTTTTTTAACCTGCAAATCAGGTTTTCCTTTCCTGTAGCTCGGAATCCCAATGGCTGAGTCATATATATTTCTTCATCAAGATCACCATGAAGAAATATCGTCTTCACATCCAACTGATCTAACTCTAATCCATACTATGCGTGACGCCCCTGGGTTCACACAAGGCTACAGTCCAAGGTAAAACCAGAGATGTCAAACCTGTCATGCACCCACACTGTGCATAAACATATTTCACCAATCACAGTAATATCCTCTAGTAGAACCAAATAGAACTGCAGGTACAAACAGGCAAAATAAAGGG